GTATCGAGAGCGAAAAGCGAAAAGCTCCTGCCAAAAGCGACATATCGGCTCAGTAGATCCTACATCAGGTTCTATTCCAACCGTGCGGAGACGTGTCATTATCGTCAGAGCAACCTCATTGATGTAAATATTAAGAGGAGTGAGACTATGAATGACTTCCATGGCTCTGGTCGGTGTTGTTTTCATGGCTACTGTTATGTTGAGACATGCTGTTCTTTGAATTTGTTCTAGTTTACGGATAGCTGTTAATTTTTAAGTTTTCGGTACCCAGACATCTGCACCGTATGTTAGCATAGGTCTTATGATAGCCGTGTAAGTCCATGTGACGACTCTGGGGGAGAAACCCCAGGTGCGCCCCATGGTTCGGCGGCATTGATCATAAGCAATGCATGCTCGTTTAACTCTGTTTTCTAAATGCGAGTTCCATGTTAACTTGCTGTCAAAGGTGATACCTAGGTACTTCACCTCTGTTGCAAAGTTTAGTTTTGTGTTTAGGAATTCCGGATGTTTTAATTATATTTTCAACCCGTTCTTTGTGAAAAGGACCATTTCTGTCTTCTTAGGATTGATAGACACTTCGATAATTTTTAGAGCTACATACTTGCATTCTTTCGCAGAGTATGTTTTCAAAATTCCCTGTTTGCAGAATGACCAGGTCATCTGCATATGCTATTGTGTAGTGACTGTCATTATTCTGTGTTGGAGTGTTGTACAGACCACCGCGGGAAAATTTAAATCAAGCTATACATTGTTTAGATAATATTTTACCAATCATACTTACAAGTTGTGATAAAATTTTAATTCTTGGGGATGTTAATGTGGATCTTTTTAACAGTACAAATTCATTAATTTCGTGTTTTAATGCCCATAGCCTCACTCAAGTCATAGACGAGCCTACATACATTACTGATCACTCCTCTACATTAATAGATCCAATTTTTTTAAACTGTTACAATAATTGCACAAGCCATGGTACTATAAATGTTGATCATTTCACCGATCACCAAATGGTATATTGCGATTTATTAATTGATTATAGTTATCAGAAACAAAGATTTTTAACTTATAGAGATTATCAAAACTTTGATTCTTCAGTTTTTGAGCAATGCCTACGCAGTATTCATTGGGATAACCTTCTGTATCTTAATGATATTGAAAGTAAGGTACGCTATTTAACAGATGCAATATCTACAATTTTCGATGAACACGCTCCTTTTCTAACAGCTAGAATAAGTAAACCTAAAGCACCTTGGTTAACTCCTACATTAAAACTCATATTTAAAGAACGAGTTACTGCCCTAAAAAAATTTAAATTAAATAAATCCACTGAAAACTGGAACAATTACAAAAGACTTCGCAACTTTGCTTTAGCATCCTTGAGACGAGAAAAATCTGCGTATCTAGAATTTTTAAACAACCAGTCATCTTCTAAATTTTACAAAGCGCTAAAACAAATGAAAATTCAATCGACAAAAAATATCGATTTACCTTCCTCACTTTCCAATCCTTTTAAAATGAATGAATATTTTTCCTCTGTGTACCAAGACAGTAATGAAAGATGCTTGGATTCAATTTTATTTTATAGAAGTAACTCCTTTAGTAGAGATATTAAATTTCACTTCAAAACAATAACACTATCTCAACTCTACACTATCATTTTGAATATAAAATCAAATGCTGGTGGTAATGACAATATAAACATGTCAATGTTAAAATTGTGTCTAAATATTATTGATGTTTATCTGCTACATATTATAAACTTATGTTTAGAACAAGGATATTTCCCAGAATGTTGGAGACAAGCTTTGATAATACCCTTACCTAAAAAGCACAATCCTAGTTCATACAATGAACTGCGTCCAATAAGTCTACTGCCTCTAATTTCAAAAATTCTTGAACGTGCAGCCTATTTCCAAATATACGAATATCTTTGTGAAAATAATATAATCCCTTTGCATCAGTCGGGTTTTCAAAAGGGTTTCAGTACTTCAACAGCTTTGGCACATTTAAGTGACAATATTTTAAATAGTATTGATAAGAAAAAAGCAGGTGTCCTAGTTCTACTAGATTTTAGCAAAGCGTTTGACACCATTAATCATAGTCTTCTTATATCCAAATGTCAATATTATGGATTTGATAGAATTTCATTAGGTTTCATAAAAACATACTTAAGTAAACGATCACAGTTAGTTACAGTAAACGGTCAGAAATCAACATCCATTCAAATCAAATCTGGTGTACCACAAGGTTCAGTCCTAGGGCCCCTGCTTTTCTTACTCTATACTTCGGATTTCTACAAACACGTAAATAATTGTGCAGTCCAATTTTTTGCTGATGACACTCAGCTGTTCCTCGATTTTTCGTCGAATGCAGTCATTACTGCAGTTGATAAGATTAATCAAGATCTAAAAAAATTGATAACTATTCGTCTGATCATAACCTTCACATTAATGCTTCGAAATCCAAACTATTATTATTCTGTAGTAAAAATGTTAGACAATATATAAAGAACAATACAACTCTGATGATATCTGGTGAATCTATTCCACATGAAACTGAGTCTATAAATTTAGGGTTATACTTTGACGATCAAATGAGGTTCAGTCAACATGTCAACTATGTGTTACAAAAGTGTTATAGTGGTCTTCGCTTGCTTTATTCTAATAAGCACATCCTACAGAACCAATCTATAAAACTAAAACTTTGCCAAAGCCTTGTAATTTCAAAAATATTATATGGAATTGTTGTGTATTATCCTTGTTTAACAGCTGCTGATCGTAACCGTTTGCAAATTATGCAGAATACATGCTGCAGATTCGCAAAAGGACTTAGAAAATTCGATCATATTTCCCAAGCCTTCTCCCAAACTGGCTGGCTAACTGTTAATAATTTATATATATTTATGTTCCTTTCTTTTCTTTTTAAAATACTTTCTACTGCGTCACCATTATATCTTATGAGCAAATTAACTTTTAGATCGTCTACGCACAATGTAAACATAAGAAACAATTTTAATTTATCAATGCCTCGTCACTCTAGTGCTATTTATAATCGTAGTTTTTCGTATAACGCGGTTGTTCTGTACAACACTTTACATACCGATATTAAAAAATCACGATCTCTACCTGTTTTTAAAAATGCTTTAAAAAGGCAACTCTTTATTAGTCAAATGTAAACTGGTAGATATAATGAGCTACTAATGTAAAATTGTATTGATAAACTTTTAATATTATAGTTATTTAAATGTATATGTTTTGTTAGGGTTAGGTGTAAGAATAGCCACAGGCTAAACCTCGCCCATGCTAACTGTACAAAAATGTAATTATTTTGTGCAAATAAAGACCCGTTATTATTATTATTATTATTATTGAGGCGGCTGATGAGGGTGTCGAGGACTATATTCCACAGTAGAGGTGATAGCATCCCTCCGTGTGGACACCACTCGCAACCAAACCTCCTATATTCACATCTTCTACACTTATGTTTACTTCTCTCTTTGAAAGTAACCACTAACCATTTGAGGGACATTCCTGTTGGTTAGTAAGTGTATTACCTTTGGGAAGGCGGTTTTATCAAAAGCATCTTCTATTTCTATGAAAACACTCAAGGCGGACTCCTTATTGTCCAGGGATCTTTCTATCCGGCCAGCAACTAGATAAAAAGCTGAATCAGTTGATCTGACTGGGGTGCATGCATGTTGGTTTGGTTGTAACACGACCTATAGACAACAATTTCTTGTCCAATAACATCACAAAACTCATATATTTGTTCTATATTCAATTGATTTAAATTTTAAGTATACGGTTTTTATTGAAGCATTACCACTATTATTTTTAACAATGCAGTAACTTGCAAGAACATAACCGTCAATGTTTAAGCTTTCGACATTATCTTCCCTCTGCCAGTGTTCCGTGAGACTCATAAAACAAAACAAAGATCGGACAAAAATGCATTTAACATTTCGACTATATTTGATAAGCACCGAATATTTAAATAAATCATACCCACCGGCTGTCCCGGAATTATATAACTTTTTAAATTATTGATATGTGTAACTGCATTTGTATTTACAAGTTTATCCTCATTAATATTGCATTCAGTTAGCTTTCATCTTCTGGGTCGAAATTCTTCTGAACATTTCTTTTGAATTTAAATCTTCTAATTATAGAGCCTTGCGGCCAGATGGAAGGAAGCTCGATGATAGTACCCTTTTAAAAACTAGATGGGACAAAAATCTTGGTTGGTAATTAAAAAAATAAAAAAAGAAAATAAATAAAACTAAAATGTAATTAAGGCGTAAAATAAAATAGAAAAATAATTCTAGAATCCAATATCACGAGCAACAGTTTCCATCCGGAAAACTACTCCTAACAGGCATTGAAATTATAAACAAAGGAAAAAAAAGAGCTAGAAAATAATTATTTAATAAATTATAAGACATTTTTTTCGAGAATTATGTTTTATGTTTCTATTTTATTTTTCGTCTTATTGTTTATTTCCTTTTTTTATTGCTGGCCTGGTTTTTAATCCCACCCACTTTTTGAACTGGGTACTACTAGTGAGCTTTGATTTTGCTTACTAAGGGTAGATGGGGTTACTTTATCACTCCTTTTCTCACACAACCATCGTCCTAATAAGGACGGAAACGATTCATAAATGAAGTTCTCTTCTCCTAAGTAAACAAAATCAAAGGTAAAGCGATCGTTCGTATTATGTGACATTGGATTCGAGAATTATTTTTTATTTTATTTTAAAAATACCATAAAAATAGTAAGAACTACTACTTTCTTACTATTTATTTACGAATATGCTTTGCAATTAATCTTTTTTTGAATTTTAGTTTCAAACTGTTTGAATAGTCTGAAAAAATAAAATAAAAAATATAAATAAAAGTAAATAACGTTCGAATACGAATGTATCTATTAGTTTTAAATCTAAGTAGCATACTATATATTTTTTGTAGGTTTTTAAACAATAAGAGATTTTATATATTTTTCTAGATCTACAAAATAAGAAAGAAATTTTTGGAAAAAACGCTAAATCAAGATATAGAATGGTTCGATATGAACAAGACCGATTTTGCTACAACCTTTACACAGTAAGTTTAATAAAAAAATCGTTTATAGCAAGAAGACACTAAACATGAAGTAAAGAATGATGGAAATACATAAGTGTGTAAACATTAAAATATTTATTTAAATTAGGCTGAGCGCATTATAGCGGTCGTCAAATTTTTGTCGTAACTTGTGTTCCATATCTAGCTTAAAAGCAGGTTTATACATGCATGGATTTGCTGGCGCCAATAGCTTTGCCAGCAGAAATTTCGCCCCATTAACAGTTTACACGTTAACATTATAAACGTGTAGTTTTCTAGTGTTAAGTGGGCTGAAATAGTAAAAAAGTCAGTTGAAATTTCACGAAATGCTTGCCGAATAGTTGCAAAAATATTGATTAATGATATGACTGCTGATTTAGAAAAAAGTAAAAACGATAGAAGAAAAGGTCGTATATGGATAGGAGGGTGAATATATCGTAGAAACACCTTGGGTGCTTCTGGAGGTCTGTTAATAGAACTTGCGAGAGAACATTCTGAAAGTTACAGAAATCATTTACGTATGACGGAAAAAAATTTCAACGTACTCTTGAATTGTGTGAGACCATACATTCAAAGATTGTATAAAAAAATGAGAGATTCTATACCCCCAAAAGGAAAACTGCAAATAACGTTAAGATATTTGTCGTCTGGTGATAGCTTTGCATCTTTGCAGTATTTGTATCGATTTCCTAAAAGCACAATATCCAAGTTTTTACCCAAAGTTTGTGATGCTATTTGGCACTCAAGGATTACATCAAGGTAAGTAATTGGTAAAACATACCTAAATGATCATTTATTAATAAAGAAAACTAGGAAACACATTATTCAGGATTTCCAAACTCAAGTAAACTTGCTACTGCTTGTGATATGAGATCGTTTGATTGAGTGCAAGTACTGTAAGTACTGTTTGAGGTGCTTTTAGCCTAAAGTGGTCCATTTCCATCACTATCACTGTGTACCAACACCGAGTGAGATTGATTGTTGATGTCAACAGATAAATGTGCTCTATTTTATTCGCTGTGAACAATCTATTGACTGTTTTTTTTTTAATTGGGTGTCATCGGCACCGACTGCTAAGGTCATTAGCCTCGTGTTTTGTGTAGGCTTTGTTACTGTTTCCCTGCGCCACTTTAGGAACAGCACTGTTAATTAGAACCCAACAGTGAATGGTCGAGTGGGAAATTCTACCAAGGCATCAGAATTAATTTAAACTAAAAAAATTAAATAAAAAAATCCCGGCGGCATTCGAACCTGGGACCCTTGGATCCACAGGCAGAGACTCTACCACTGAACCACCCACCCCTGTCTATTGACTGTTGTTTGTATTATTCTTTAAGCGTTGTTGTTGAACCAAATAAGACTGTATGAAGGCCATTGATTCGAGAGCTAAATGTTCTGGAAGCTGTTGAAGGTGCAAATTCATTATTATTATCATCAGCAGGGGTATCAAGCTTTTCAGAAAATTCTCGTAATTTCTGTATAGCCTAGTCAGTATGACTTTTTTTCCTGTTGTTCGCCCAATCTTCATCCTTTTTGGAGCAAACAGAGTTGCTGGTTTTCTATTAGTTGTTGACATTTTTGGTGTGGTAGGTATGGTGGGATTAGCAGGAGCCATTACCTCGTCGTCATCGGTATACTCGCATCGTGCTGATGGCCGTAGTGGATGATCAGTATTGCTTTACATATCTTGATGTTGGTGCTAATGGTAGAGCATCTGATGGAGGTATATTCTCGAAATGTGGTCTTAACCGAGCAATTGAAGATTAAGTACTGAATCTACCAAAAAATGCACTTTTTGTAGCAGATAATGCCTTCCACCTCCAAACACATTTGATGAAGCCTTACTCACATCATGGAGCTCTTACACTCAGAAAAAGGATCTTCAACTATAGATTATCTCGGCGAATTGTAGAAAATGGGTTCGGCATTTTAGTTTCCCGATTCGGAGTATTTGAAAAACCAATTGCACTGTGCCCAGATAAAGATTATAAAATTGTAAAGGCAGCTTGTTCTTTACATACTGGTTACGACTGTCAAGTAAAACATACATTGCTCGCGGTAATGTAAATGAAGAAGACTTAGAAAATGGAGTCGTTATAGAGGGATCTTTGAGAAAAGAAAGTAGGGGTACATCTTTAGTTGATATAATCACTACTCATGAATCGCGTAATTACTCCAGGAATGCAGTTGCAACACATTAGCTGGGTGATGGAGCCGTACCATGGCAAATGAAAATTATTAATGAAAATAATAACAATAACCAAGTTGATAATTACATGTAAGAATGTTTGAAAATTAAATAGAAATAATATGTACTTACGAGTATTTCTGTAGATTGTGACTCTCTGCTTTAAACTACGTCGTGTAATATCCTGTCGGCTGTGTAAAACCACCATACTTTGGGTTTATATAATTCATCTCTTCCTTTTCCCGATGTTTTGCTTTTTTGAATTTTTAAATGTTCTAAAGCATATGCATTTCTAATAGATTGAATTTTTGCTTTGATTGCTACTGAATCAAATCCTTCTATAGCCATAGCTTTGGAAATGTTTTTATATGCTTTCTCAAGCAAGTTTCTATTCTTGTAATGTGATGAAGAAACATCCCATAGGCAAGAATTTTCCTCGTACACTTCCAAGAACTGGATTGTTAACTTTGTATCCCACTTTTTGCTCATTTTGCACTTTTCACAAAAAACAACTTGTTGAAAATACCCTTCATGCGTGCTCTGGCACTACAGTTTACACTTGCAATGTATATGTTTACTGGCGCGTAAATAGAAACTGGCGCAAAAAAAAGTTAGAAGGCAACTAACCTTCTACATTTATGCACGCATGAAATCACTGGCGTACCAGTAAACGTTTATACATGCAAAGGTTTGCAAACTAGCGTACCATTAGCCACTGGCGCCAGCAAATCCATGCAAGTATAAACCCGCCTTAATATTCAGTGGGATGTTTCTTGATGCTCCATGTCAGCGTTTCTCAAACTGTTTTGACGACGGAACCCTTTCCAAAACCGAAATATTTGACGGAGCCCTAAAATAATAGAAATAGATTTTTTAAACTTTATATTGGTTTATTTTACCACTGGGCATTTCTAAAAAAAGTCCTCAAGCCAAATCTTAGTGAAATCTAAAAAAAAGCTCCTCAAACCAGCTCCATTTTGTGACGAACTTCCTCATAGTACTTCTTTATTAATTTTTTTATTATGACTATTAGCCCCAGGGCTCCGCGAAACACACTTCGAGAAACATTGCTTTATGTCAATAATTTATATTAAGTACATTGATTTTCTCTTTGTACTTGTTCTCTCTCAACTATACTTAGTAAACTAGTTAATGGCTTCTGTCTACCCAACAGGGGTGAACCATCATCATCACCTTGGGACCCCGGTTGCAAAATAGGATCGCCCAGCATAGCTGTGTCATAAAAGGCGAATGTACATGTCTTCATAATTCTCTTGCTGCCTAGTATGGATCTAGGTATTCATTTGGCTGTGCTGTACCCTTTAATTTTTTAAAAAAATCTACTAATCTTGTCTTTCTTCTTCTTTATTCACCTTTCCTCTTTCGACATGTATGGGTTATAGCAGTAGCGGCTCCTGTAGTAAACGAGGGGACTACATTTAAAAGGCACAGTCGCCACTGAAGTATAGTTTTGTTTAGCGTTCTCAGAACTCAGAACTCTTTTCCCTCCCTCCAAAAACCAACTATATCTTGATTTCTGGGTTAATATGTATGGCTCATAACCCAAAAACCCAAACATATCCCTTCAACCATATTTGCATTATTAATTTTTGATGAATTTATTACGGTTCGGTTGACTTTAGAACCAATGACAATTGTCCTTGTCATTCTGTCTCCACTGTCACATCAATGTCTTAATATATCATGTATCTACTACCAGGTGATTTTCGATAAATCAGTTTTATTCCAAAATAATTATTTTAAATATAATCAGCGTTACCATTCTTCTCGTAACATCTGAATTGCTAAATTTTTATTTTATTTAATGCTTTTCGTGGTAGTATCTTTTATAGGTTGTAAGTTTATTCTTTAATTTGTAACTTCTTTAAGGATGACTATGATGATGGCTGTGTAAAGCTGAAAGCGCTCAGCTTAGTTTTAAAACAAATTTTAATTTTACTCACTGATGCATTCATATTATTCTTCACCTAATCTGTTATGGTTAAAAATTATTTATTTCTAGAAATATTACCAAAATTGAAGAAGGAATAGGAGATAAAATTGGAATTTTCATATTTTTTGAATCATGCTTTTTAGCTGGTGTTATCATGGGTATAGTCAACGGCTGGAAGTTGGCTTTAGTTTGTATGGTGTCATTACCATTATCAACAGGAATTATGATGATTATATCATGGGTAAGGAAAATTAGTATACAATAATTTCCCAAAAGATATAGTAAGTTAGTTGACGCCTGTAGATTTATAACCATGAACCAAATTTTGTTCAAACTGTCAGTGGTTTAAAAATAAACGATTTCCTCAGCAGGTATATTTATATATTTATATTATAAAAAACAAATAATTCCAAACTCAAATATGACTGAGATGAAAATTAAATAAAAAACAGTAAAATCTCAAAGCCTCAGATGTTTCAACATATAGTAGTAATGATAGCAATAAATAAGAAATATAAAGTGGTAAGAGTGGTTAGAATTGGGGATTTATTTGAAGGATTAATGGTCACGATTAGAATTAAAAATAATATTAAATTTGAATTAGCATGTATTTACATTCCTCCAAATAGTTCTTCTATAGTTTTAGAATCTTGTTTGAATTTTTTGCAGAATAATATATCGTGTGAAGAAAGAACATATATTCTTGGAGATTTTAATCTACCAGAAATAAATAAAGATCAACTGTATACTGAGTGCAGTGAAAAAGTTTTAACTTTAAGAGATTTTTTAAATTTTAATTCTATGAAATTATTTAATAATATAACAAATTTCCGAGGAAATACATTAGATCTAGTTATGTCTTGTGAGAATAATGATTGCAGAGTTATTAAAGATAATGATCCGAAAACTAAAGAGGATGTATACCACCCCGCACTGGAAATTATTATAGGAATAACCGATACATTAGATAATAGTTTTGTTGTAGACCATAATGAAAAAAAGTTTAATTTAAATTTTAAAAAAAAGCGAATTTCGAAAAAATGACGGAACAAATTAGATATACTAATTTTGATGAAGTGTATAAAATTAGATGTAGATTCAGCTTTGGAAAAATTCTACGAAATCCTAAACAATATTTTCAAAACTTGTGTCCCTGAATATAGATTAGTCAAGCATTTTAAAAAATATCCCATTTGGTATACCTCGGAGATTAAAAGTTTAATAAAGGAAAAAGAAAAAATTAGAAAATTGCGGTTCATTTCAGATTTTTACGATATTAAATACAAAGAAATAAGAAGACAGCTAAAAATGCTAACGAGAACTGAACATAGAAAACATATTAAAAATATCGAAGCGGGTTCACTTTCTGATATGAATACTTTCTGGAACTATGTTAAAACAAAGACCCGTTATTCTAATAATAGTACTAACTTCTTTTTAAATGGTAAAGAAATAGAATCAAAGGATATAGCTGATAATTTTGCTCAATTTTTTTCTAGTGTATATTCTTTGGTTCCAGCGAAGTATAACTTAGAATATAAAAGTTATCAACCTATCACAAATGATACTTTTACAATAAATTTAATCACGGAGGAAGATTTTAATGTGGCAATTAAAAAAATGAAGCCAAAAAAAACGGCAGGAACTGATGGTCTACCACCGTATGTGTTAAAAGGATGTCATGAGTATCTTAAACCTGTATTGCTACATATATATATAATTTAGTTATTAAAACCGCTGTTTTTCCAAACATTTTCAAAACTGCAATTTGCACACCAATTTTCAAGTCTGGAGTTAAGAGTGATATTCAAAATTACAGACCAATTTCAGTAATGTGTGCTCCCTCAAAATTATTTGAACAGATAATTTACAATAAACTGTATGCACATGTTAAAAGTAGTATTGCTGATCAACAACACGGTTTTGTATCAAACAAATCAATTAATTCAAATTTGCTTTTGTATACACACGATATTAATTTAACATTGGATAAAAAGATACAAACTGACACCGTATACACTGATTTCAGTAAAGCTTTCGACATAGTGGACCATGATGTGTTACTGGAAACAATCTATCAGTTTGGACTTACAAATAGAAGTATGTCCTTATTTAAAAGCTATTTACAAAACAGGTTTTTTGTAGTAAGGCATGATGGTAATACATCTAGAAAATTTACAGCAAATTCAGGTGTTCCGCAAGGGTCCAATTTGGGGCCCTTGCTCTTCCTTTTGTTCATAAATGATCTACTAACTGTAGTAATATACTCAAAATGCCTGATCTTTGCTGATAATTTAAAAGTATATAAAGAAATTCAAACAGTACGTGATTGCATTCTACTTCAAAAAGATATTAATAGTATTTATCAGTGAAGTACAAAATTTAAATTGAACTTTAATGTAAAAAAATGTAGTGTTATTAGTATAACTAGACAAAAAGAACCTATTATTTTTAAATATGAAATGAATAATAGCGATCTGGCTCGACAAAATGTTATTAAAGATTTAGGTGTAACATATTATAATAATAAATTATCCTTTGGTATTCATATCGAAAACACGATGAAATCTGCAAATCGGGCTCTTGGCTTTTTAATAAGACAAATTACACTTTTTACGGATATAAATACCATAAAACGTTTATATTTCACATTAGTAAGATCAAAATTAGAGTTTGGTTCAATCATATGGATGAGTGAGTATCCAACTATTCTCCAAGGAATTGAAAAAATACAGAATAATTTTTTAAGGTATTTGTATTATAAAAAATATCACACTCGGCCTGATTTCAAAACCGTAAGATCAAGTGATTTAAGAACTGAATTCAAAATAATATCTTTAGAAAGTAGACGAAAATTACTATCAATGATATTTTTATATAAAATTATTAATAATCGAATAAATGCACCCAATTTATTATCATTTTTACCATTCAGTATTCCTACACGAACTACTCGAAATTTTAATATATTCTATATACCCTTCTTACCTACTATTCGATCTCCCATTGTGGACATACTTCGGATGGCGAACAATTTAAATTATCTCCATGATCTTGACTGGAATATATCTTTATATAAATTTCGCATTTTAATATTTCAATGTCTTATAAATATTTTCACCTAAATTATGTTTTGAATTTGATCCCTTGCAATTCTGAAACCCGCTCAATCTGATATTTTATTTTCTTCTGATTATATAAATTAGTAAACTTTATCTGTATAAACTTATCCATGTAATTAGGCCTATAGGCCTGTTTGGGTAAATAAATAAATAAATAAATAAATAAATAAATAAATAAATATTAAGAGCGAATTTTTTCCTCCAGAAAACAACTCTTTGGCTAATACTACAACAGGCATTGAATTATATCTAAAGAAAAACAGCAGATATATAATTTTAGTTTCAACACGTTAGACAACAGAACTAGTATATTACATCACACAAGTGATGTACAATATTTTTCCTACGACCACAAAATAATATCATCAAAAAAATGTAAAACCAAGGTTATTATTACTATAATAATTAAAATGTATTTAAAAAAATAATCAACAATAATCGTATTTATTCAATTTTCATATTTTTTAAACAAAAAAAAACTAGAAAAAAAATAAAAAAAAACAAAAAAAATTTCTGCCACGCCAGGATTTGAACCATCGATTGAACGCGGTCGAAAAATGGCAAAGTTGATAAGTTCGACGTCCTAACCACCTGAGCTAATAGCCCTTGTGTCAATTGAATGATCTAATCGATTATGTATTTAACCAGAATAAAGAGCAAACATTATTTTAAAATTATTTTAATAATAATTGTTAAAGATAAATATTTAGGATCTAATTTACAACAATTTCAATAATTTAACAATCATATCGATTTTAGTATTAATATGGATATTACATAGATCAAAATAGAAATTAGCTGTTTGACATTTTGTGACAACTACTGCGGAAAGTAACATATTCTCACACGGGTGGAAAGTAAATTCTTATTCATACGCGTGTGATATAGGGCACTTTCCATAGGACTATATAGTGTGATATGTGTCACTTTCCTAAGTGGTCGTAGGAAAAGTTGTTTTACGAATGTAATACATGGCTTTGAAATTTCATCATTTTTCTATATTTTATAATTTGAGTCACTCAGAAGCGTAGTAATTAAAGTTTTGAGATAAAGGCAAATATAAATTAAACATAAAACAAGTTTTTCAGTTCCATTTTATTTATAAGTAAACATATGGTCAGAAACGTATACATTTTATAAGTCTAAAGATAAGAAAAACATATCAAATCAATTGTTACTTTTAGAAAAAAAGTTAGTTGGGCTACTCTGCCAAACTCAAAACTTTAACAAAAAAAACTGTCCACTTGGGTCTCCCATTCATCTGTTTCTGGTCCAATACCATCTTCTTCTGCTTGTTAGTTTGTCTTTAAATTGATGTAGAAATCATGACATACTGGCGGAATATATGAAAGCATATTTTGAAGATCTTTGTATTTAAATTTTTTATCGGTCTTCCAGTAGGACGAAGGATGTCCAAGTAAAAGGCTTCAGTTTTCATTGGAGAAACCTCTGTTCTTTTTTTAGAAACATAAATACTATTGTAACGCGGAGCCAACCCTGTGTACGCGCGTCCTTGGAAGTCTGCCACTCGATTCATGATCGACGCAACGCTGACGTGTGAAAACAGTCGGACCGCGTCTCGAATATTCAAAAAACGACGAAATCTTCTAGGTATGCCGCTGACGCTTCGAGAAACTGCCGTTGAGTCATAGAGATCGAATTTTCGGGAGCGCCCAGAAACGACGAGCACAGAATTGGCTTGGTATAAATAGCCGACTCATCGACGCAGAGTTTAGTTTAGATCAGAGTATTGGAATGAAAAGTTAAAGTGTAATAAATAAATTAGAATTGTTAGTTAGTGTCTAAGTATTATATAAATTAAATACTACGTCTTAAATAAATTTTAAATAGTGTGTTTTAAATAAATAAACTATAAATAAATTAGACTATCCTTACATTGGTGTTAGAAGTGGAACTATAAATAAATAGTGGACAATAATGGCTAAAAGACTGTGTGATTTAAAAGTGACCGAGCTACGTCGGGAGTTAGAAGATCGTGAGTTGGAGACGACAGGGAAGGAAGCACAAATGGCAGAGCGGCTTAAAGAAGAATTAATAAGTGACGGTTTGGATCCGGAAACGTATCTATTTTCGGATGACGCTTCTTCTATAATTTCTT